GTTCTTGTTTCCTATTATATGTTTTATAAAACAGTTTTTTTTCTTAAAGTTACTACGACTTTAAGGATTACATTCTCACACCGAAATAAATCTCGATGGTATTATTAACTATGACCCTATAGTTAATCTTAATCTAGTAAAAGTAATAAAGATTCCTAATCATTATGGTTAGGGTCGCTAGGTTGATTCAACAAATTCAAGCCTGGCAAAAACAACCCTGCAAATCCTAGTCAAATTGACTAGGATTTTAGTAATTTTGCTTATTTCCATAATGCGCACGCGTCTGCTTCTGTTCTGACAGTGTTTACCTCTATATCTTTCGCGTCATTTATCGTGATTTCGTAAAACGATTTTTTATCATTACTCGCGTCTATTTTTTGTACATAAAATGGAGTTCTTACATACATCAAAATTGCTGGTTTCTCGGAACTTCTGGAAATATAGATAGTCCATGTTTCAGAAAGTAAACTATTTAATTATATTAGTCAATTCTTTCAGACTTTTTTGGTTAGGTTTCAATATAAATCGTCAAAATTTTTACGCACGTGGTGACAACATTTTTACTATTTTAATCGCGCAGTGTGTTTGAAAATTTACCTTTGCAATAATTTGTGTATTTAAATTTATTTTCATTTGAATGGCATAAATAATTAAAAATAAATAGTTTTTGACAAGTGTATAAAATTGTGTACTCGAAATGTATAAAACATCATCTGATTAAGTATTGTATTTTGACTCGAAAATCTAGTGTCTATTAAAAAATTAAAATACCAAGTCGTGTTTAGTGTAGTGGTTATCGTTCCGGGTTTCAAAGTGCGTATTCGTTAGATTTAGGTGTTCGCGTCCCCCCTGCGTCAAATATTTATTTCATAAGTTTAAATTAATTCCAAGGTATATAAATGCAAAGTAAAATATAAATATGTTTAATAAAATAATTAATTATTTTTTTTAATTATATTTACTTTTTCTCTTTTATTGGATAATAAGAATTTGAATAAGAATTTCAAATACCCAATGGAAAATGCCAGTGTGGTGCCGATGTTCACCACTGGCTTAGTACTCAGACGATTGTTCGGCGTAGTCTAGCCGAGCCTCGACAATTAGTGCTGGCGCAGTACAGAATTTTTGTTTCGCCAAAGCTTGGACAAGCCACGGCGGCAAGTGCTGGCTGAGTATAGAAAAATTGTTCACAACGCTCTTTGCCAACATTGCTTTTTTGACATAAACTTGAAAAAAATTAATATTTTACTTTTCAGTTGTTCATTTTTTATTCTTATTAAATTTAATAATAACAATTTAACACAATTGTCTAATTTTGTAAATAATAAATTATTTAAACAAATTAAAATTATAAACAAAATTTAAACTTTAATCTCAATAATAATTTGGTTCCTATTAAAATACTGTTATACTTCTTAATATGAATAAAAAATTATTAAAAAATTACCACGTAATTTAAGAATTACGTAAAATGTTAAATGCAATAAGTAAAGTAATTTAATTTAATTATTAAAAATTTAGTTTAATTTATTTTATTTCAATTTATTATTTCTAACGTATCCCTATTTTTTTCTCATCTTTGACTCAATAATTGCATGCCTGAATGATACTGAGATATTAATACTTTACTATACACATGTGTCGTTAGCATAGTGGTTAGAGCGTTAGTCTGTTAGTCCGTAGGTCGTAGGTTCGATTCCCCTCGTCAGCAATTTTGTTTATTTTCATAGGTTTGCGATATTTCTAGATTCCAATCGTTAGGTACTAAAATATGAAAATCTAATGCACACTTACTGTAATTGTTTATTATTTAATTTTTAAATGTTATAAACAATTTTTTTCTACTTCATTTACTATATCCATTGTTAGTCTCCATCTTTAATACAATTTCTTTAAGAAGAGAAATATTTCATGAATAATAACTATTTATTAATATTATTTACCATTTTGTTGTTAAATTATTTATAATTATGAATTTACGACTAATTAATAACAATACGGCATTTATTGCGGCAATATTGTCAGCCAGCACTCGTCCAGTGCTGCGCCAGCGCTGTCTGGCAGCACTGACAGACAGTACTTCGGCAGCGCCGGACGGCGTTATCATCCCAGAGTTATGCCAGTGCTGGCTCTCAGCCTTGCCGCCAGTGCTGCCAGTGCTGGCGCAGTACTACGCCAGTTGTAAATTTCCCATTGGGTAATTATAATACACAGTGTAAATCTAATATTATTATCCTAGTCAATTTGACTATTTTTTCCTGATTACATCGACTAATTTTCCTGGTCACTTTAACTATGCTTGAATTTTATTACTTTGACTAGGATTCTATAGTTGGCTCCTCTCGTAACTAGGAAACCTAGTCAATTCCTGGTATACGGGTCCTAGGCATTTTTTTCGGTGCATCACATGTTTTTGTTTGCTGATGATTGCGATATTAAGTGAATTTAAATGTATATTTTTGGTCTTGATGATTAAAATTGTTAAGTTATTTTTAATTATACTAACTCTCTTAGTAAAAACATGATTTGCAGAAGCAGCTAAAATATTTTTAAAGTATTAGTATCAAGTTTTTTGTGTAGTGTAGACCGGAGCGTAATGGCTAACTTTTCACTCTTTGTTGATTTACTCAGACATTTTTGTTTTAATTCAGTGTTTATCTCCTAGAAAAGTTACTCTGGTATCTTAGCTTTCTTTAAAAAAAACGAACGTTCCTATATTACTCTTACATTTTTTCTACAATGTCGTCGGTATCGTAGGTAACAAAAACAAAGTTTTTGTCTACGGACAGACAGACAGACAGACGTAATCGCCGGACCATGTTCATTGTGGCCGCAAAATTTTATTTTGAAAATTCCCTGACTTTTCCCTAACTAATTTTTGATTTTCCCTGACTAACAAATTTTTGAATTATTTTTTTCTGCACTGAGAAAACTGGAGTATTGGACTAAACATCTGGAGGGACAAATCGTTGATATTTGAGAGTTAGCTATTGGATAACAATCTAAATGTTCAAATACACCATTGACAGATATTCGTGCCATTTCTCTTGGAGGGAAAATGAGTTTATAACAGAGGGACAAATTAACCATCTTGAGAAATCCCTTCCTTATCCGGCGCCAAATGGATAAATATGGCAACCTAACCCCTAAATTAAATACATAAAATGTCAGAAAAATAATTTCGCGCGCATCAGATCGTACACATTTTCTGCGCAACTTTTAACCCTCAGATATAATGGGAGAGAATATACAAGTAGATTTCCATTATCATTTCAAAATTTATTTTAGAAGGACTATTTAACTCTCTTCATAAGCAAAGGAAACATACACTTTTTGAACCTCTGAATTTGACTCTCCAGTTTTCTCAGTGTGAGCAATATGTAAAGCAATACTTCTACACGGAAAAAAAAAGTTCAAAGATTATTCGGGAACTTCGTTCTTAACTCTTGGATACGGCGGGTAGTTCACAGAGAACTAAAGGTTGCCTCGTTTAAATATGTCATTTACTATTTCTCTAGAAATTATAACTATTTCACCACTTCTCGGCAAACTGTTCTTGAAAAAGTCGGGAACTGTTCAAGAAAATCGAAAAGTTAGGCGAATGCAAGAAAAAATGGATTCTGCTTCCCCCCTCCCACTTCCCCTCTTTGACACGTCCGCACACACACACACACACATTTATCCTTGAAGATCACATACAATTTTTATTTTTTATTAAGTTTCTGAAATAGAAAAAACCATATGAGAGAAAAATCGACGGCGGCTGGAACAGAACTCGCGTACCCGAGGAATAGAAGTCCGGCGTCTTATCCACGTGAGCTAAACAGGAGCGTTAAATACCTCAGCATAAAATAAATATATAAGGCACGCAAGTCTTACTGACGTTGAGACTGGTGCGCACAGTTTCTGCGTACCAAGATTCCTTGACGAGTTCCCGAAAATTTCAGAAACAGTTGCGGCCAGTGCCATGGACTTTACATGAGAAAGAAATGAAAAAAAGACTATTGGACTATTTACAGCGTTTTCTAATACAGTTCCCGAATTTCTTTCAAACATTCATTGATTACCATTAAATGTTCGACGCTAGTTCAGAGCTGTTACCACGTATCCAAGAGTTAGGAAATAATTCCTGAAATATCTGGGAACTTTTTTTTCCGTGTAAATAATGTTGAGAGTCAAAAAAAAAATAATTTTATTTGAAAATAAAATTTTTTAGTTCTAGATAAACCGTTTGGCTAAACCTGGCCCAAAAACTTAAAAAATATACCTGGCCCAAAAACTAAAAAAAAAAAAAAAAGTTGTTTGTTTTTGTACAAATTTTAAGGAAAAAATTGGAAAAAAATATTTTTTTGAAAATTCAAAAAAATACGAAAATTTGAAAGTTTTGTATTTTTGTCGTTTTTTGACGAAATGAACTGTCCAACGAACTCGGGCTTCATTTTAATGGACTAAAAAAGCACCCCAAATTGCAAGTCGATTCATTAAAATTTATTCGAGTTATCGTCGAGACAAAATGTTCTACAGACCAACAGACAGACAGATCGACAGACAGACACTTCGCTAAAAACCATTTTTTTGGAATCAGGGGGTCATGAAACGTGAAGATTTATCAAAATTAGAAATTTTTCAAAATCGCACAAATCCAAGACTTTCTCATTTTTGATGAGAATGTAAAATCATTCAAATTCTCTTGAAACTTGTTACTCGGGGGTTTTTAGGGTCTGATGGTAAGCTTATAAGTAAAAGTCAAGGTAAGCTTACATATGTAACGGTACGTTTTGGAAGCCAATGTTATGCCAGTAATTTGTGTAATTTTTCGGCAAACATTGCTCAATCAATGTTGAGTCGCTTTAACAGTCTTGGCATTTCTCACTTGGGATAATGCATTTTTTTACTGCGCTATCAACTATCCGTAGCACAGAGAATCACTGGCGTCGTAAGATTAACAGCAGTGGTGGGGATCTGGCAGTCGCAACTACTCTGCGATTTTGCTTCCATGTGGAATCGCTGTTAGACGGTGCACAGTCTCAAATACGAGCATTCGCCGGCGAGCGCTCAGCGCGAATAGTTCACATCGTATGTACGTGCTTAGCAGTCGACGCTTCTCCTTACACTTTAACCGGCATCGTCGGACACATTAATCAAGGATATTTCGTGAAAAGAACTCAATTCTTTTATCAAAGTGAAAATTCTTCATTACCTCTGGATATTTATCAACATTATATTTGCAAAGGAAATTTCATCCTCAAGTGAAATTCATGAGAATTTAGTGTGTGCACATAAGATTTATAATTCGCGATCGGTGATCTTAACGAGCTTCTCATTTCAGAAGGACAGTCTTAATACTATCGAGGTAAGGTTCAGTTTGAACTCTGCCATGACCCCTTTTTTTAGGAGATTTTTTCCTGTAGAAGAATGAAATGATGCCTCTTTCGGATTATCAGCACATAAATGAATCTTCATAATTTATGCGAAAGGTTGGGTATTAATTACATTTGCATCTATAGCTATTAATTAATACCCATTTTTTAGATCAAATGGTTTGATATTCGTAATGCAAAATTTGCATAAATACCTGCATAAAACATAGGAATTAATAGATAATTAAAATAAAAAGAAGTATATCATGTATCAACAATAATTTCAGATAAGTTAAATTTTACATGCAACATCTTTACGAGAAATTTATCCTTGGAGAGTTCAATTCTATATGTCGCAAGTGTATAAGGAAATGCTGACAAACTCATTATTCTTGTGTGTACATTTTTGTAATTCTCCTTATAAATAAATTTCAATATTGATATTTTTCGGTAGGGAATGTATATACTGTGGAATTTTTTCTCGCAACGAATGATGAGCGCCGCGTAATTGTTTTTTATGGTTCTCAGTATTTTGAGACGAGTAAAATATTTCTTGAAGACAATAACAGATCAATTTGTTTTAAACGACTTTTGCGCACCATATTACAATATTTAAATAAAGAAAATGCATTCTTAGAAATTTATAATTTTTTATTTAATTGTTGAAAAAAAAAATTGTTTCTCAAATTTTCTTATTTACATCACTGAATTAATGATGAAAGAAATATACTGAAACTTCTTTTTGCCGAAACACATCTGAATTATCAAAAATCCAGGGTGCATCATTAATCTTATCTTTAAAGAATGTTAATAAATACTTCCTTACTTGATAAATGTAATTAATTCAATTGGATAGTACCTTGTAACGAATTCTATTTATGTGCTCTAAAGTTTATCGCAAATTAACATCTGCTGAATTTCCTATATCGTTTCCTATAATCTGATATTATTATCATGCATTTGAAAATTTCTCGCAATTTAAATATTAAGAAAGTTTTTTATTTTTAGAATTTTATTTTAAAAGTCGTTAAAGAAATCGTTAAGGTTTTAAAAAAATATTATTTATATGACTAGGTAAAATTCCACAACAAAAATAAACGAACAAGAAATAAATAAAAAATAATAATATATAATATTATTGATATATAGAATATACAAGCAGAATTCCTTTATCAGTTCAAAATTTATTTTAGAAGAACTGTCAAACTCTAATACGCAACAGAAACATACACTTTTTGAACCTCTGAATTTAAACCTCCAATAATTTTCTCAGTGCATTATTATTATTTCGTTATTATAATTATTTTCAAATAAAAAATTACCAACTAGATAAAGAATTATTATATTAAATAAAAAATATTATTCTAAAGAAATTTCTTGACGTCGGGTAATATTTTTTTCTTTTCTCTACATGAATATCACGTGTCTTTTGGCATACAACGAGTGTCAACAGCAATAGATCATGCGTGAATGAGGAAGTACCACTCAAAAGATCTGCATATATATACGCGTAAATGATAAATGACTAGTCATTGTTATCAGCTTGTGATCAGTTTTTAACGTGGGTTGTGCAAGTGTTACGTGTCTCCTATCACCAAACAATAAACCAAATCGTGGATCATGATTAGGTTCAGAAGCTCAATACTTGAGTTGAACCTGCGTGTCTTAATCTTTTTGCTCAAGTTTTTTTTAATCTTGCTATATATGCTTGACCTGATTAATCTCACGCTTTAATCTCCTTAATCCACGTATAGTTGCTTAATCAGTTCTTTATACGTACTGCCTCAAATCATTCAAAACAATCAATTTTGTTTACCTCTTGTACGAAAACAGCTGTATGATATTTATCTAATAATTCTACTTTTTACCGAAAACTATATTCTTTTAATATTTATTTCATTCAAGGATCTTCAAAAAGTGAATTAATAATCTAAATAATAAAAATAGGAAATTATTAATTCAACTAATTCAATGTACACCTAGAGAAATGATTTATTTGAATTAAATAAAATTTATTTCAAACAAATAAAAAAGGATATTTGTCACAGAACCAACTAAACTTTTATTTAGCTCAAATAATATTTTTTATTTGAATTAATATATTTCGTTTAAATATCCATTTTTATTTAAATGAAAAAAATTTTATATTTTCTTTAAATATATTTTATATTTAGAGCAAATAAAAAACACTTTTCATTTTAATAAATCCTGTAAGCATTCTAAAATATTAAAATTCACTTATAAACTTCAAATAAATTTAACAATCACAATCACTAATGGAACTTTTAATATTCATTAAAATAAATGTTTATTTTTATAAGAATATTTGTTAAATAAAGTCAGGTTTTTTTATTGTTAGTAATTTTACTTTACTTTTTCACTTCATATGTAAAAGTCCACTGTCACATTTTTCTCACAAAATCTCAAATAAGACACTAAAATGTAAATGAAATCACATACAAATCTGTTACTTTGTACTAATTAAAATTTCCACTTAAAAAGAAAAATTCTTTACTTAAATCAATTAAATTTGTTAACTATTCATGATGAATAAACCTCTTATAATTGTACGCGTTAAACTGTTAAAAGCAAAACATCTTATTGTTTTACTATAGCAATGCAATATGCGCAGGCGTCTACTTATAAGTCAAACAAACATTTATTTGAATCAAATATACTATTTCATAAATTGCAAATATATTTCTTTATTTTAGATTAATTAGTGCATTTATTTGAAATAAATATTAGTTTATTTATTTTAAATAAAATATTTATTTGCAACAAATAAATTTTTCTTAAATATACACTTTTAGTTAAAATAAATAACTTTTTTCTCTGGGTGTAGAAAATAATATAATCTTGAACTAAGATTATAGACATAAGGGTTGCTATATAGCTCAAGGAAGTCAGGGAATTCAGGGAAAAGTCAGGGATTTTTATTAAAAGTACTGGAAAAAATTAAATTTTTAGAATTTATAAGAAAATTCTGAATTTTGGAGTGTTTTATGTTTGCCTCATAAATTATGAAATTACCAAGAATTATAATAGAAAACCTTCAATTTTTTCTATTTCTAACAATAATTTCTTTTTCAATAAATTAATTATATATTAAATAACTTAATTATTTAAGAACTACCATAGAATTATTATTTATAAATTATTTAATGAATAATTTTTCTTAAAAATTTCAAAATTAATTGGATTTCAAAAGAGTTGCGTTTACAATCTTCATAAATAGATGAACTTCAAAGGTTTCAGTTTTGAAATTTTAAGAACAACTGATTCCAGAAATTTAATTATTTTCAAAAGTGATAAACTTCGTCGCATAAATTCAATTATGTTCAAAATTTTTTTTAAATTCTCGTCAAAATTTCCATTATCTTTATAAATAAAATAAAATTCTTCTCCAAAATTCAATTATTTTCAAAAAATTTAATAAAATTCTAAGCAAAATTTCAATTATTTTCAGAAACTTTCCTCATTTCGATTATTTTTAATATTTACTGTTTTAATATAATTTTCCAAAAGAATTCCATTATTTAAACAAAATTTTAATAAAAGTTTCACAGGAATTCAATTACTTACCAATTTTTTTATAAATTTCTTCGAACCAATTCAATTATTTTTAATTTTTTAATGAAGTTTCTCGAAAAAATTTAAATAAAATTCTTTTAAAAATTCTATTATTTAAACTAATGTTGACAAAATTCTTTACGAGATTTAGTTAATAAAATTGCATTTCTAATAAAATTTTCCTATGCAATTCAATTATTTTCATTATAATTCTTCTTAAGAATTAAATTATTTAAAAAAAAAATTGGAATAAAGTTCTTCGCAAGAAATCAATTATTTTCATAAATAATAAAGTTTTTCTCGAGAATTGAATTATTTTAAAAAAATTTTATGTTTTCTAAATAAATAAATAAATAAAATGCTTTATATAAAATTTGAAAAATTATAATAAAATTGATCATAGAATACAATTATTTTCATAAAATATAACACTCTTCCTTAAAATACATATTATTGTCAAAAATCTTTGTAAGAATCTTCGAAACAATTTAATTATTTTCGTAAAAAGTAAAATTCTTCGAAGCAAATCAATTATTTAAAAAATTTTAATAAAATTCTTACCAAGCATTCAATTCTTTTCAAAAATAAACATTTTCAAAGGAATTCAATTATTTAAATTTTTGTTTTTTATTCTTCGTCAGATTTCAAATATTTACAATTTTTTTAATGAAATTTCTCGATGGAATTGAATTATTTTCAAAAAGATTTTAAAAATGCAGAGAAATTCAATTACTTTAAAAAATTTGAATAAAATTTTTTTAATACAAGAAATTAATTATTTTCATAAATAATATTTTTCTCCAGAATTCAATTATTTTCAGAAATACATTTTTTCATAGGAATTGAATTCTTAAAAAAAATTTTAATAAAATTTGTTGCAAAAATTCAATTATTTTCTCATAAATAACAATATTCATCACAAAAATTCAAATTATTTTTAAAAGTAATAAAATTCTTCGTAGAAATTCATTATTAGATATTTTCAAAAATTTTAACAAATATCTCGTCAAAAATTCAATTATCTTTATAAATTAGCAAATTTTTTCATCAGAAATTCAATTATATTCAGAAATTTAAATAAAACTTTTTGCAAAATTTCAATTATTTTCAAAAGTTTTTTGCAAATTAATGATTTTCAATATTTATTATTTTCATAAAATCTATCAGAAAATTATTTTCCAAAATTCAATTATTTTAATAAATATCCAAATTTATGACAGAAATTCAATTCTTTTGAAAAGCAACAAAATATTTTGCAAAAATTAAATTATTTTGAAAATTTTTGAAAAATTCTTGTCAAGAATTAAGTTATTTTTATAAAATAGGTAGCGAAATTCTTCTCAAGAAGTCATTTTTTTCAAAAATTTTAATAAAATTCTGTAATTCAATTAATTTTAGTAAAATTTTAATTTAATTTCTTAAAATAAATTTATTACTTTCAAAAGTTGTTAATAAAATAAATTGAATAAATTGAATAACAATTAAATTTTAGGAAACATTCAAGTATTCAATAAATTCTATACTTTTGTATTTAAATAATTAAAATCTCGTAGAATTTTCTAATAAAAATTGATTTACAAAAATAAATTTTAGTTAAAATTTTAGATAATTTAATTTTAAAAGCATTATTTAGCGTGAATTTTTTAGAAATAATTGAATTCTGAAAAGATTTCAAATTAAAATCTTTACAAATTTGAATTTTTCGTACTTTTAACTAACAATTGTGTAGAATTAATTTTTTTGAAAAAGTTTAATTGAATTTTTTTTCACTTATTTGAAGTTTTTATTTTCTAATATCCATTTAAATGAAGAATTTCCGATTAATCGAAATTTCATAAAATTAAATAGTAAAAAGATGGATTTAAAAATTCTCAAAGAACTTTTTTGAAAAATTATTAAAAATAATTGATTTTAAAAAGAAATTTAGATAAAAATTCTAGAAAATAGTAATAATTGAATTTAAATGATGAAAATAATTTCTAAGAAGTTAGAGTAACAATATTTTTATTATAAAATAATAATTTTATCACTTGGTTATTTTTAATTATTAAAAAAACATGAAGAAATCGATCACTCAGAGTCGAAGACTCGGAGAGATCGATATCAATAATGTTTTTATAATAAATCTTCAAGTTGAATTTCAAAAGGTTTGAATTTGAATTTTTTGAAAATCTTAATTTCTAAGAAAAAATAATAATAATTAAATATTTATTTAAAAATGAAGTTATTGATGTTTTCGAATAAGTTTACAATTAACTCCTTTAGTCACGAAATTAGGATAATAGACAAAACATTATGAACGCTATTGTAAATAGGGTTTCTGGGGTCACTGAATACGAATCCGGGGTCAGATTTGCAAAATTTTTTAAATTCAAAATGGCAGATCCAATATGGCGGACGAATTTTTAAAAATCTAACGGATTCACTTGAAATTTGTTACTCGGGGGGTTATTGGGGTCGCTTATAATGAATCTGGTATTAATTTTTAAAAATTTAAACTGGGGGGATCCAGTATGGCCATATTGGATCCGCCATTTTGAATTCTGAAAATCCGACTTCAGATTCGTAATCAGTGACCTTGATAACCCCCGAGTAACAAGTTTCAAGTGCATCCGTTAAATTTTTTAAAATTCGTCCGCCATTTTGGATCCGCCATTTTTAATTTTTGAAAACTAACAGCGAATTCGTTATCAGCGACCCCAATAACAATATTATTTTATTTATTGTTTAAATAAATAAAATAAATCCTTTGTTTTTCCGAGTTGTTCGTTTTGAATTTTTTTAAAGGAAAAGGAAAAAGCAAAACTTTTTTTTAACATAATAAGAATTTTGCTTATTTTTTTACTCTTACTATATTAGTTTATAAAAAGGTCTTTTTTATAAATTGCAGAAATGGCAAGCCCCACGTGACGAGACGCATCTGTCGCGACCAGTACTACCTCCACCACCATCGACACTGTCATCATCGTGGAGTTACTTACTCCCAGATAAGTCCCGAGGACGCAGAGAAAGTGAAGTGATCGGCCAAAGAGAGAACTGGAAGCGTAGTCAAGAGCTAAGTGGCGCCTCGGCACTTTGAGTGGTTGCTCTTGTGCCTTCATTACGCGAATTCCTGCGGCTATCTTCGTGACCCTCAACGGAGAATTATTTTTAAAAAATAATAAAAAAACCATCAATTTTTCCAATCAGAAAATCAAATCTAAAGTGAAAAACAAGAAATAATTTTAAAATACACCAAAGTAACTGTAATTTTAGTGGAAAATTATTTAAAAAACCATTTCTTCAAAAGAATTACAAACTTTTTAATTTTTTTTTTTGTTTGTGCAAAATTTCAGAATCTCATTTGATGGCAAACCGCAAAGTGTTTGATAAATGAGAAAGATAGAAGTACTTTGAGTGGATAAATGAGGAAAGTTGTGGCTGGTAATTTAGCTGGCAGTGAATTCCCTTCCTGTAAAGAATAATTACAAAGCGGTTTTTGTGATTATACTTTGATATCGTGTGTGTCGAGTGTTACTTTGGAAATCCGCGAAAAAAGCATGTGCCACTTGTTTACAATTTCGAAGAAAATATTTTGTGCACCCAAGTAATCTTATGAGTGAATAAATTTTAGCGGTGGACCGCGAGAGAGAGAAAAAAGGGACAAGTTTCTGGGATGTTGCGGGCAAAACGCGGTTGGAACGACGACTAAAAGGTAAAAGGGAATCCGATCCGAGTTAGATGCAAATCAGTGACAGTTGGCGCGTATTGTCGTGTTTGTAAACACTTTTATCAAAGCACAAATCTCCAAGTGAACAAGACTCACCTTTACCCCTACATCATTTGAAGTGGGTCAGTGCTCTTCTCTTAAAAGAGACCGCATTGTGATTTTCAACAGTGGGAATTTGCGCAGAGCGCGGTCAATGATAACAGTCATTTTTGAACTCGTTTTTGTAAAAAGAAAGAGAGAAAAACGAAGTAAGTGACCAAAAGTGCACTCTCAGATTAACATCAGAATTTAAAAGTATAATGTGTCTATGTGCTTCCAATGACACCTAACATTTCGCCCTGCCAGCTGATGACGAACGTCAATAGGATAAAGGTGGTCGTCCTCGGCGGCCCCAGAGTCGGAAAATCTGGTAGGCTCCCCTTTTTTCTAAATAACTAAATAAAAACAACTACACAATTAAAATTTAAGTAAATAATAAAATATTTTACCTCAACTAAAATATTTAACAAACAGTGATTTTAATTTGCAATAAGTACAAATATGAAATGCTTAGGATCGGTTAGAAGTTTGCACAAACAGTAGTCCTATTAAATACAATTATTAAAAATACCATAATTTATTTAAACAAATGTAAAAACTAGAAGGGGTCAAAATTTAAACTTTTGTCTTACATGGATAACATTTAAAAAATTTATAGTTTCTTTGAAACAAAAGAAAAAGATGTTTTCTGTTTTTGATTTTTTGGTGTGTGTTTTTATGCACAGAAAGTGAATAAAAAGAATAATAATTTTTTGACCTTAAAAAATTCAATAAAATAATAAAATTCCATTATTTATCAAATGGACATTTTTTTCAAATTTTTTTTTAAAAAGGTGAGGTTTTTTCAAAAAAAATTTCTTTTTAATTATTGTTTATACCAGAAGAAAGTGCATAAAAACAGTTAAAAAATCAAAAATACAAAACATCTTTTCCTTTCGTTTTAAAAAAACTACCAAACTTTCGAAAAAATGAAATTCGATAAATAATTGGATTCGGTAAAACGGCGTTAGGAAAAAAATTTTTCGGTACAAAGGACGTTCGGTAAACTGGATTTGGTAAAATGTACGGTAATCGAGGAAAATGGCCATTACGGTGGTCCAAAAAAAGTAAAATCGAAATTTTAATGCTCTCACCCCCTAGGATTGTTCTATATAAAAAAAAATACCCCTATTTTTTTTGAAAATCAAAAAATATTTGGAGGTCGCTCAAAACGCTCAAATAGTTTCCTATGTAAAATGCATGGGAAAAAACACTTTTTCGTAGAATTGGTATAGAATCCTTGAAAAATAATATTTTTCATATTCAGCAAACTCGGTTTCTCTTCAGAAGACTTCAAAGAATAGTGCTAAGTTGTTTATTTAATTATTTTTTAATATTAACTATTTTTTATAGTGCCCCAAAAAAACCCCATAAATTTCAATATTACGAAAAAATCGTTAAAACAAATTTTTTACTATTTTTATCACATTTTTTTCCTAGATTTTGAATAAATAACACAAATATTGATATTTAAACATTCCATGTAATTGCTAATTTGGCTAAACAAATCATTATTTTTTTACAACTTTTTATCTAATTGAGCTACAGAGTTGCGATTTTTTCTGAATTTTGCAACTTTTCAAGCCGAATGTAACCAGTTACTAACAACAAACTATGAATAATAATTTTACCAATTGTAAATGTAAATGTAAATAGTTACTAACATATAAAAATTACAATTTTACACTGAAAAAAATACATGAGACATTTTCAACTACATCCCCTTAGTAGAGTAAAAAGTAATAAAACGAACTACTTTTTTAGTTAGTCTGGCTACTTTTGATACTTATTTTAACTGTTTTATGTAGTTAAAAATTATTAATTAAATTAATGTAATTTTACAGTTAACTTTGTAACTGCAGGTATGTTATAGAAATGACTACAGAAAGTAGTAGATTCTACTACTTAAAGTAGTTCGATAGACTAATTTTGTAGTAGTTTTTACTTCTTCTAGGAGTTGAATTATTTTCCATGTAATTTATGTTATAGATTTTTATAGAAGATTATCAACTGTGAAAAGTTGTAAATGCAACTACTTTAAGTAGTAAAATTAACTACAGTTATCAGTTGAACTGTGTCAGGAATGCCTTTAAGTATTAAGCAACTCATCGTAGCGGGCGAGCGTGGTTAGGTGGTTAGGTTATCGGTTTACGAATGTTAGGGTCGAGCGTTCAACTCCCGACGTTTAGAGATTTTTCTCCGTTAGGTATATAGACATTAAATAAATAAGGTATAGGTAAACAAAAGTGGGTAGGGGGAAATATAAAAAAATACAACTCGATAATATTTATAATAAATTATAAATAATTTTATTTTACCATTTTCAGTAGTTACTTTATTACTGAGTTATCTTAGTAACTTTAACTACATATCAGCAGTTAATTCTACTGCAAAACTGTCATTGGTTCCTATTTAACTAAGAAAAGTAGTTAATGCAACTGTATTATCACTTCATTCAACTACATATCTGATAATTAATGTAAGTTCAAAATTATCTTTGGGGACTTATTGAACTAAGGAACGTAGTTAAAAAGTAGTCAAATCTACTAAGAATTTTTTTCAGTGTACCAATTGTTTAAACAAATTGTTATTGTTAAAATTGTTTAAACAATTGGAAAATTGTAATTCTTAAATTGTTGTTAGTAACTAGTTACATTTTGCTTGGAAAGTTGCAAAATTCAGAAAAAATTGCAACTCTCCAGCTCAATTTGATAAAAAGTTGTAAATAAACTATAGTAATTTGTTTAAACAATTGATAAAATTATTATTCTTAGTTTGTTGTTAGTAACTGGTTACATTCGGCTTAAAAAGTTACAAAATTCAGAAAAAATAGCGACTCTCTAGCTCAATTAGATAAAAAGTTATGAATAAACAATCCCGTGTAGAAATCACCATGCTATGCCTAAAATGATTATTGGCCCTAGCTTGGACCTAACTTGGCAACCCCTTTTTATATATCCTGGGCTGGTCCTAACTTGGTACTAGCTAGGAGATCCAGTTATGACTTAGAAAAATTTTTAGGAAAATAAAGTGTCAAAATTGATACATGAAAAACATGTAAAAATTGATAAATATTCTCAATTAATATTTATAAAATTAATTGATAATCATATTTATTTAAACAATTTATTGTTTGACATAAATCAGAAAATTATACAAATACTATAAAATAAAGTTAATTTATTAATTTATTAATTCAGCAATTGTTTAAACAAATAATTGTTATTTACTAACTTTTTACACAATCAACCTAGAAACTAGCAGTTTTTTCTAATTTTGCAATAAGTAAATACTCAGATTAGTTAATTGCAAAATTTTAAAAGACTACAAGTGTCTAGACGCTTTATTGTCTTAAGAATTAATAAATAACAACAATTTTTTGTTTAAACAAATGCTGAATTGTTTAAATTATAAATTATCTTCATATTTCACTACTCAAGTGTAATAATCGCGAAGTTAGATAAAAAACTGCAAATTTTTAAGTAATTTGTTACAAAAGTTAATAAAACAGCAAAATTTATTTATTTATTTAAACAGATACAGACTGCAATATAATTATCATTTCGTTTAAGTTGGTGCTAAACACTAAGAGATATTGCAATTCGAATGTGGGCTGACCCACCCAGGTCCAACCCAGGACCTACCTGGGCTTCCTAGTTTCATTAGCAAAAGTTTCTAAGTCCAAGTCTAAAAAATTTTTTGCAACAAAAAATTAATGCTTAAAATGATTTAGAATAATGAAAAACGTGTTTTTAACATAAATTTTTTTGACATTTTTTTAAAAAGTGGATCACCCGCTTAATTAATTAGGAAAAATTTCCAAGTCCAAAAGACGAATATTTTTTTTAGACCAAGAAATTAATGTTCAAAATGATTGAGAACAATGAAAAACCTGTTTTTAACGAAAATGTATAGATATTTTTTTTCTTGATATAATATAAAAATATTAATTTTTGAATTTTTATATTTGGATATTATTTTATTATTATTGTTGTTGTTAAACTATTTTTTTTATTTATTATCGTGTATTCGTGTCAATAATTACTATATTGAATCATCAAAAGCAAGTCCACAAGTCACTGACAATAAAAATTTTGATCTCAACTAGTTTCATTAGCATAGTGGTTAGGGCGTTAGTCTCGTAGTCCGTAGGTCGTAGGTTCGATTCCCGCGTGCGTTAGATTTTATTTACTTCTTAGGTTTGCGTTTATTCCGATTTTTCTGCATTGTATTCGTATAAGTATGCAATAATGTAATGATTATATATACTGTAAAATAATTTAATTAACAAATTTCTAATTTTTTTATAATTTTGTATGTATATATTAGAGGAATATATATTAATCTCTACATATACTAACATTATTTATGAATTCGCTTTTGGTCATCATTTAATTGAAAAAAATAATAATTAATTAAAACTAATACTTATTATTAATAATTTAGGTTATTTCTTTAGCAAATATTATAAACTAATCAAAATTAAAATAAAGTATATAAATAAACTGGTCATAACTAGGCTCCCAAGTTAGGACCAGGCTAGAATCGCATCACCAGCCATTGTTGGTCCAACCTACACTGCCAACCTAGGACCAAGCTATTAACAGGGCAAAATAGGTAGGACCTGGCTAGGACCAATTTTCATTTTCCACACATAGTAATTTGTTAAAACAATTGATAAAATTATTATTCTTAGTTTGTTGTTAGTACCTAGTTACATTCGGCTTGGATAGTTGCAAATTTCAGAAAAAATGGCAACTTTGTAGCTCAATTATATAAAAAGTTGTAAATAAACAATAATAATTTGTTTAAACAATTGATAAAATTATTATTCTTAGTTCGTTGTTAGTATCTGGTTACATTCGGCTTGAAAAGTTGCAAAATTTAGAAAAAATTGTAACTCTCTAGCTCAATTTTGATAAAAAGTTGAAATTAAGCAATAGTAATTTATTTAAATAAATTAGCAATTGCATGGAATGTTTAAAAATTAGTATTTGTGTTATTCATTCAAAATCTAGGAAAAAACTTTGATTAAAATAGTAAAAAATATGTTTTAACGATTTTTTACTTTTTTTTAATTCACTTTCTATTTATTTTATGAATGCTTTGCTTCCTCATAGCTAGTTAATAATGAGAATTGAAACATAAGAATTACTTTTGATAAATAGGTTAAAAAATGATCAAACCTTATCTTTGATAAGTTGGTTATAATTGTTTAATTATTACACAAAAGTAACTTTTTATTTTAAATAAATAAAAAGTTAAAAAATGATTTTATCTAGGTACAATTTTTGGTTTTTAACCCCTTCCCTGTTTGACAAAATATTCATA